TTCTCTATTTTTTTCAACCACACATTTTTCAATAAAATAATATTACACACAAATCTAATATTTTTTCTTATGTTTTAGAGCAATGTTATTTGGCCCCACTAGGGTTGCAACCACAATTTAGGTGGTATTGATGTGACATTAAATAATAAGTGCAATTAAATTACTCACTTAATTTCACATTTTATTTGGCATATCATTTAACGACATCTAAACTCAGGTTAAAACCCCAGTAGAATTACATAGCATTATTCTATTTTTTAACCATGGATTCTCCATCATTCTACTAATTTAAAATTCATTCTTCCAATAAAATGCGGCTCAAAGCGTGAGCTTTTATAATGAAAGAGGTGAAGAGGTTATCGTTTGATGGATGACACGTGGCTTTATCTTAATGCCTAATGCACCATCCTCATGGACGTCACCTCTATAGTAAGCCCTTTTTTGAGCTCCATTTTTATTTAAAAATAAGTTTTCTAATAGTAATTTTTTGGAGAATGCGTGATTAAAAGTAAGATTTTTTTTTTTAATTTTCACTCAAATTATTTTATTGGTAGAATTTGTGGTTGAAAATAAGTATGAAAAAAATAAGTTATTGAATAATGGGGCCCAAACATCGGCTTAGGTTGAAACACCATTAAATGGTTCTAAAAGTGACCACCTTATAGACTAGGTCTAACATGTGAAAATTAGGGTGACAAATTGGTTGAGAGACGTCTTCCATATAGAGATTAGAAATCAATCAATTATACAGAATATCTCGTACCTTCCTAGAGAACCTACTACGCTTCCTATGGAAAATGACTTATGTGTCAAGGTTTATTGTTTCAAAAATAGGTTGTATCAAATCGTAGCTTCTTGCTTCGGCCATAGAGGTTCGACCTATGCATTCTACAAGAATTTGGCACTCATTTGTACTTCTTTTAATAAAATGAGTCTAGGATTGTAATTAATTCTTAATTTTCTTCATCTTTTCTTTCTATTTTATTTGAAGAGAGGGTATATTAGTCATTTAACTAGGTTTTATTTAGAAAATAGAAGAAAGTATTGTATTCCGCAAAGTTTGGGCCATTTAGGGGTATCCTCCCAAAATGAAAGGATATAGGGTATTTCACAGTATAGGCAAGCGCCAATTACCATGAATAACATCTAAGATATGTTTATCTAAAGGGTAACTGGCGTAAAACTCCACCGACCTTTATCTCTATTGCAGAAGATCCTTCTATCCATTAAATTTGACGGAAAATTCCCACTAGATGATCTTTTCTTTGCAGAATATAATTTTCCTCTATTTTCTCAATAAAGCAAATTGATATATTGATTCAATCCGAGCTCTATTATTAAATTGCTCATTTAATGAGCATTCTCAATATTATGCCTTGAAGAGGACTCGAACATCTACACTCTTTAGCACGAGATTTTGAGTCTCACATGT